GGGGGAGGAGGGGGAGGAGGATTAGAAAGGACGAGCAAGGATAATGAGGAGGGAAGAAAAGGAGGAGGAAAAGGAGGAGCAACAGCAGCAGGATGAGGCCTACTGTGAGCGGTTTTTGGGGCGTCCTGGGAGGGAAGCTGGGGCCTCTTGGGCGCCTCTTCGGGCCCTTTGGGGGGCCTTGGGGCCTCTTGGGGAAATTTTGGAGGACGTCGAACAAAGAGGTGGGGGTCTTTCAGTGGCACGAGCCTCTAAAATAGTTTCTTAGGGCGCTCTTGGGGCGTTCCTGCGCGAATTCACAGTATTACGTACCCCCCCGACCCCCCCACTCATAGAGTCGCGCCACGTCCGTCAACCAACGTTCCTCCTTTCGGGGCATCACTATCATATGCATATTGCAAGTAAATCGACTGTGTCGGCATCTTCGGTCCCTCGGGGAGAGGGCTTCCAGACGGCCCAAGACGGCCTCCAGACGGACCGAGGCGGCCCAAGATGGCGCCAAGAGGACCCAAGAGGCCCCCTAAAATGGCCCCGAATGTTCCCAAGATGAACCCCAATAGCGTTGCAAGAGGCCCCAAAGCGATGTTCGAATAAGTTTTCAATTGATTCGCGTTCTCGCCGTTGTGGACACAGCCCAAGAGGTCCCCAAGAGAGCATCGACATTGCTCAAGGGGGACCCAAGATGGCCCAAAGAGGCCCCCAAGACGGTCCAAGATGCTTTCAAGACGGCCCAAGAGGACCCCAAGAGGCAAGGCGGCTCCGAGAGGCCCTCACGACGGCTTCCGAAGGCGACAGACGGCGCAGGACGGTCCCCCATGAGGCCCCAAGAGGCCACAAAGAGGCCCCGGCCCCCAAGAGGCGTCCGAGAAGCTCCCAGGAGGCCCCATGGCGGCTTGATTGTACGCGCTCCAGACGTGCACCCCGGAGGAATCGAGGGCTTCATGTAATGCTTACGGATAACACTGTCGAAGTCAACCAGAGCCTGCGCGTGGTTCTAGTTCGATTGTACTGGTGTGTGAGGTGGGTCATTTAGGATGGACTCTCGGGCGTCTCTCTGACGCTTTCGACGCCTCTCCAGCAATGTTGGATGCCTCTTGGGGTCTTATTTGGGAATGTCGGGCCCCTCTCTCCAGGGAATGTTGGGTCATCCTGCCGATCCTGGTGGCCTTCCTGGGCCGCCGCTGAAGCTGTACAGTCTTGGGCATCTCGGGGGCTCTCGAGAGCGCCAGGGAGGCGTCGGCACGTCTAAGCGGGGCCTCCCCGCCGCTTCCCCCCGGTCCTCCCTCCCCCCTCCGTCCTGCCTCGTCCCTCCTCCGCTGGCCTCGCCGACCTCCTCCTCCTCCTCCTCCTCCTCCTCCTCCTCCTCCTCCTGCCCCTGCTCCCTCCTCCTCCTCCTCCTCCTCCTCCTCCTCCTCCTCCTCCTGCCCCTTCTCCCTCCTCCTCCTCCTCCTCCTGCTCCCGCCTCCCCTCCTCCTCCTCCATCCTCCCTTCCTCCTCCTCTCCTCCTCCTCTGACCCTTCCTTCCCTTCCCTCCTCCGCCTCACTGCTCCTGCCTCCCCTCCTCCTCTCCTCCTCCTCCTCCTCCTCCTCCTCGAGCCTGCCCCTTCTCCCTCTCCTCCTCCTCTCCTGCTCCCGCCTCCTACCTCTCCTCCCCCACTCCTCCTCCTCCTCCTCCTCCTCCTCCTCCTCCCTCGGCTCAAGCCAGTCTGACCCGCGAGAGCTGCAACGCCCGACCCCTCCGCGGCGCGCGCGACGCCACCGCCCCACCCCGACGTGCCAGCGATGCTCGCCCGGGCGGCGCAGGAGCGCGCGGAGCTCGGCGAGGCGATCGGAGGGCGCCAACCACACCGTCGGCCCGGAGGAGCAGGGCGACCCTGCCGAGTCGAGAGTGCCCCTGCGTCCTGTGTGTTTCGCGGCCCCTGCCTCCGAGATTCCCACGGCAACGCGGCCCTCGGAAGGGGTGTGTGCCCTCTCGCGTGTCCTGTCCAATCGAGTCCGACTGTACGCACACACACACACACACATACACACACACACACACCGATCCTGAACAGGTCCACCCTGGGCCTGGAAGCGGGGTGTACATGCTCTCCTGCCTCCTGGCCGAGCCCGGAGGGCGCACACACCCATCCTGGGCCCAGGACGGACCTGAGGCCAGGACCGGTGCATCCAGACGTCCGTCGTCGCGTTGTTGTTCGCGACGTGGCTTCCCAGAGGTCCGGGCCCGTTCCCCAGGGCCTGCTTTTCACCACGATCCCCGGGTCCAGGTGAGGGCCCCTGGAGGCCGACAATAAGGCAGCATGTTCCGCCGTGGTGTTCCGACGACGAGAGGACGTCAGGGCGTGTGTATCGACGACGCATGCGGCGAATCACCGCCGCCCCATGCCTCTGAGGATACGCCCATGTGTCCAAACCTTTGGACAAGGTTTGGCTAAGCCATTGGACCACGTGTTCCCCCAGCCGTTGTGGAAACCCGTCACGGAACACGTGGGGGACGGAAGAGGAGGATGAGGAGAGGGATGAACAAGGAGGAGGAGGCCTCTTGGAAGCCACTTGAAGCACTCTTGGGGCCTCCTTGGAGCTTCCTGGGAGCCTCTTGGAGGCCTCTTGGCGGCCTCTATGGGCCTCTTGGGGGCGTTTGGCGGCTTCTTGGTAGCATCTGTGGTCGTCTTAGGGCTTTCCTGGCCCTCCAGACAGACGGAAGGCGTCGTGTGGGCCTCTCTGAATCGACTTGGAGTCAATTTGGGGTGCTTCAGGGCCGTCTCGGAGGCCATCTTGGGCGTCTTGGAGGCCCCGTCGAAAAGCAGAAAAAATGCAAATGACAAAATCTTTCAAAAATCAAAGGAAAGTCAATGACTGTTGCCTCCTCGGGCCTTCCTGGAGGCCTCTTGGGCCGTCTTGGAGGCCTCTCGGGGCCGTCTTAGGCCATCTTGGGCCGTCTTGGTGGCTGATGGGGCGGACTTGGAGGTATCTTGAACCCTCTTGGGCCGTCTTGGAGGCCATCTTGGCCGTCTTGGAGGCATCCTGGGGTCCATCTCAGGCCGTGTAGGAGCGAGAGAGACCACCATCTGGGCAAGTTGGGGGTGGTTCCGGGTGGCCGGCGCTGTGGGCCGAAGCCCCAGGGGGGGTCTTCAAAAGAACCAGAGACCATCAGACGTTCAGCACGCCAGGCACCCCTTGTGATAGATCAGCAGGGGGCGGCGGATAACGGAAAGAGCGAGGTGCGAGTGATGACGTTCTGGTGTGGGCGAAGCCCCTTAAGGAGGGGGGTCCAGGGGGGGGGGGGGGGCGAGGGCCGGGCGCCAAGTCTACTGGCCTTCGCCCCAGCCCGCCACCGGGCCCACCTCGGGGCCCTCTGGGCCCGTTCTGGGCCCTCTCAGCAGAGCCCGGAAGATCGAGTCGGGCGAGAGGAGACGGGGGGGCCTGGGGGCCTGGGATGCACGCCAAGAGCCCTGGGGAATCTGGGGCCAGGGCCTCTGAATGTGATTCAACCCTGGAGACCGAGGGCTGCAGAGGACCTGCAGGCCCTCCAACTCCTGCCTCGCGGCAGGGTGGCGGATGTGTGTGCGTGTGGCTAAGCGGCAAGAGGTCATGGTCACGATGCGTTCCAAGATGCCCGAGGTTTCCACTCGTGCTTCCCGTTGCTCCGCGCGGGCTCCAGAAACGAGGGCCGCCAGATACTCCAGAGGCCTGGAGCGCATCCTGAGCCAATCGTATCATGACATCGCTCTCGTCCGATGGCTGGCGCCCTCCCAGGCGAGCGAGCAGGAGCAGACGCTGCTCCAGGATGCGGCGCGCGCCCGGCGCTCGCCACCCTGGCTCGCGGCGGGCGGCGCGGCCGCGGCCGTGCTGCTCCTGGCCGGCGCGGGCGCGGGGGCGCTGCGCCTGTCGCGGCGCGGGGCGGCCTCGAGCGCGGACCTCCCCTGGGTGGGGCGCCGAGGGGGAGAGAGCGCATCGGCCACCGCTTCACCGTGGAAAATTATTCCCCCCCCTCGTCCTCCGGAACCCCGGGGTCCCCCCCCCTTCGAAAATCCCCCCCGCCCTGCTGAGACCCCCCCTCCCCCCCCCCTTTCCCTTGGCCCCCCTCCCCTGAATCCCTCCCCCTCCGGAAAACCGGGGGGGGTCACTACCAGTTCGAACCCCCCCCCCTCCAGAAAACCGAGGGGGGTCACTACCGGTTCGAACCTCCCCCCACCCCCTCACCGCCGGCAAACGACTCCCGGGTCCTCACCACCGTCCGCACCACATCCCCCACCCGATCCGTGGGTCTGGCGCCCACGCGCCAGATGTACGGATCCGTAGTCCATGTCAGCGTGCGCCCGACTGTCGGCTGCCATCAGGACCGCTTCCTGAGCAAGGAGGCCGACGCGGACGCCGAGGGCAACCCGTACGCCACGGAGCCCTGGAACGCCACGTTCTCCGTGGTGTTATCCGGCAAGGAGGGCGGCGCCAAAAGCAACTTCACCGTGACGGTGCACCCGGACTGGGCCCCCGAGGCTGCGAAGCGCCTCCAGGACCTCGTGGCGAGCGACGTGTTTGACGATGCCCGCTTCTTCCGGGTCGTCCCAGACTTCATGGTCCCCACGGGCGGCGAACATTCCGAGGCCGACAACACATCCACACCCACGCCCTCGCAGTCTGGCCCCCGGGGCGCCATCCCGTGAGTGAGCGGCCGCACGGATGCACTCCGCGCGGGGTGCATCCGCGGAAGAGCGGCCCCATACCCATGGGATCCCAGCCCAGGGGCCCAGCCCGCGAGGCAGCGGAGATTGCGGTACTGCTACGCCTCCCGCCCACGAGGTCCAGTGGGGGATCCCCGCCGACCCGGCGGTGGCCAAGACCTGGAGGGAGAAGAAGATCCCCGACGACCCCGACGCGGGGCACAGCAACGAGAAGGGCATGCTGACCTTCGCGACGGCGGGGCCGGACACCCGCACGTCGCAGCTCTTCATCAACTACAAGGACAACGCCTTCCTGGACAGCCAGGGCTTCACTCCCGTGGGCAAGGTTAAGACAGGGCTAGGATCGGGATAAATCGCTCCAGAGCGTTCCGGAGCGCTCTCAGAGCGTTCCGGAACGCTCTGGAGCGGCCGCGGCGCCCAATACATCCTCCAAACCCGCCGATTCTCAGAGATTTCGAGTTATCCCGATCCGATTTTGTCCCGATCTTCGCGTCGTTTGAAAGGTCGTGGAGGGCATGGACGTCGTCGAGGGCATCCAGAGCAAGTACGGGGATCGGGGGGGGCGCAGGCTGCGCGCCCGACCGCGCCGGTCCTGGCCGGGGCGATCCGGGGACACGGGTCGGCCCGGCCAGGATCGGCGTGCCTGCGCCTAGCTTGGGCCCGCCCGGGAGGAGGAGCCCGACCAGGGTGAGATCCAGGAGGAAGGCTCGGGGGGAGAGCGAACGCGGGGTCCGAAGGGGGCACGAGAAGCGCTGCATGCAGCAGGCTTCGGCCCCGCCTCCCAGCGCGTCGTCTGATGTAGGCGCACTGCCGGCTTCTCCGGGCGGGCGGCGGGAAGTCCAGCTGCATGCGGCTGTTTCCCTGCTGTCCCTCCCCTTTCGCCCCCCCTGGCAGGCAATGCATACTTGACGAAGGAGTTCCCAGACCTGTCCTACATCCCAGAGGCGTTCGCCACTTCGCCGACCCCGGAAGAAAAACAAAAACCAACAACAAAATGCTCTGGAGGTCTCCGCAGGGGGTCTGGGGAGGTCCTTGGAGGCTCCTTGAGGCCCCAGGAGACCTCAAGAGGTTCCCGGATGCCCAACGAGGGCTGACATTCAGCCACGCGCACAGGGGGGCAGAGGGTGGGGGGAAGCCTCCTTCTGCGAAGCCTTCCCCCCTCCTCCATACCCCCCTGTGCGCGCCGCCAAAACACGCATCCAAAAACCTACATCCTCGACCATCCAACCTCGATCCTCCTTCCCCTCTTCCTTTTGGGCAAGGGAGACAGGGGTGAGGGAACCGAAAATCTCATATGCTTTGTCTCCCACAGACGGGGACTGGCGGATCAGCGGGGTGACTGGCAGTTTCCCTGCAGGGAGCAAGTAGCCTGACGCTCGTTGAGCAAATGATCTTCCATTTCGGCCAGGGTGCGCTCCATCAGGGGAGCTCGTCCTCCGCCTCCTGGAGGGGGGGGGGAGTCCCCTCCTCCAGGAGGAGGATGATATTCGCCAGGAAGAACAGGGGTCCTGAGGGCAAGGAGCCCCGAGGCTTTCTTGCAGCATTCGGCCCCTTGGGGCCCGTCTGGGACCCAGGGCGCTTCGCGGTCCAGGGTCCCGCTTCCGCCGTCGGGACCCTTTTTCGCTTCATGGCAAGGGGTTATCCGTGCCCGCCGATTTGTCATATCGCCTTGTGGCTCCCAGCCTTCTGTTTCAATTCGATCGGGTCAAACGGGCCCCTGTGGAGAGTGCGGAACGCCCTCAAAGAAAAGCACACGCCGGCTTCGGTGCAGGACGCTGCTCGCTCATACCCGAAGAGCCCCGAGCCCGCCACGGTTCTTCCCCTCTCACCACCCTCTGGTTACGTGTCCATCTTCTCTCCCCTCCTGGTGTGCTAGGGGGGCAGAGGGCCCAACGCGCGCCCAACCCTCAAGAAAGGGTGGACGGAGCAGGCTGTTGCACCGGAGTTCCTTCAGGCTCACGCTCTGCTGCGCGCTTCTCCTCCTTGCGCCCCACGCCAGTGGTGGCTCAAGCCGTGTTGGTCCCCGCCGCGTGTTCTGAAGGGGCGGTGAAGCCAAGGGCTAACAACCCAGGCTGTGTTCTCAATGTTCACGCGCATGCCATCCGCATTCTCCTGCTCACGGCACTCACTAGCACGCAAGGTCAACGTGTGTTTCCAGCTTGCGTTGCAGGTTATGCGCCGTCACTTACGGCGGACGGGGCGGACAGGTGGGACAAGTTGAGAGTTGGTCTGCTCCAACCGGTGCTCGGTTACTAAGTCTACGTCAGCTCCGTCGTGATGGTCGTTGCGCAGCTGCTCCCGCTGCCGCCGACCTTCGCCGGCATCGAGCAAAAGGCGTGTGCCTTCTTATGCCGGGGGGCGGAAGGATTGGGTCTCGGTTGCCGCGCTCAAGGATCTCCGAGCGCTCCACTTCCCGCGAGCCCTGCTGGACGTGCCCAGCGCTGCCGTGGCGGCCCGGGCTCGGGTGGCTCTGAGGACGCGGCGCACGGGGGCCTCCAGGCACGGGCCCGCATGTTGCGGCGCTCTGCGGCGCTGCCGGAGAGCCAGCACTGGGCCGACACATCCCAGGACCTCGCGGAGGAGTGCTGCGTCCTCCACTTTTGTGCGCGGCCTCCAGCGCGCTGTTTTTTTTCCCAGAGGAGGCGATGCGCTTGGGCGGCTCCTCGCTGACGGCAGACGACTCCGCCGCGGACGAGAAGGATGGCTGGCAGGCCCGAGCCGCGCGGGGCCTCCGCGCCGCTGCCAGGCACCGCTCGGCCGCGCACGTGGGGCGCCCGCTGGACCGCTGGCAGATCCAAGTGCCTTTCGGGGTGCCGTCCCGCCGCCTCGGCGCGCTCTCGTCCTCTCTCTCTTGCCGCCCGTCACCCCCCCCCCCCTCTGTGGGCGCAAGCCTTCCCAGCTACGCTCGGCGTGGAACTGCCGGCGCACATCGCGGCGTCTCCAAGGGTCTGGGGGCTGCCCTTCTGGTTGCCCGCGGGACGAGGACTTCACCTAGTATTACGCACGTTGTGCTTCATGCTGTACGCTCTGCCGCTGGAGCTTGGGGGGTAGCCGACCCCCACCAGAAGCTTGCCTGGCAGATGCCCTGAGGATCTGCCCCCACGCGCATTCCATCCCTGAGCAGAGCAGGGGGGAGCAGGCCAAGGCAGCTGCAATCACCCTTCGCGCCGTCGGCGTCCGCGCGGTCCTCAGGGCGCAGAACGCATGGCGCCACGTGCTTTCTGCCACGGATGCGCCAGACGCCTTCCGCGGCTATGCTCGGCCGTCCCCGCCCGCCCACCCGAGGCTGCAGCATCCCATTCAGGGGCCTCGTGTCAGCGACTACGTATCCGTTCGGTCGGGTCCTGAACAGGGCTGCCCCTTCCACTTCTGCATGTCAGTGCGGCGTCGTCGCCACACGTTGTCTCACACGACCTTTGGTTTCGTTCCTCTTGTGGCCAGGCTCTGTTGCACTGAATGTTGTGCCGTTCAGTTTCGTCGTCTCCCTCGGCCTTTCTCCTGCTTCGTCGTGTCACCATCCTCCCCCTTCCCTCCCTCTCCTGCTGCTCTCTCGCGTATCGCTGGGCGTGGTGCGCTTGCACGGAGACCGCTGGTGCCTGCTGGGAACCCGGCGCATTTGATAAACACGTCCAGCATCCCATTGTTTCAAGGTTTGCGTAGCCCCGTTCTGTTCTGTCCGTAGCAGAGGGCAGAAAAAAAACATACATTTTGTTGTTGCCATCTTGTGCGGTACCGAATGTTGTCGCTCGATCTTGCTATTTGCACATCGGGATCTCCCTGTTCCTCCTCGTCCTCCTCGCCTCCCTTCTTCCCCCTCCTCCTTCCTCCGTCTCCTCCTGTTTGCAGCTGTTGGCTGTCCCAGCAGCGTGGCCGATACTCGGTCCGCACATGGCGCTGCCCGCCAGCGCGCCTCGAGTCCAAGGCTAGCGTGCGTTTCCGCCGGTCTTCAGGGCTCGCTGGATCGAACGTGTAAGGAACTCGGGTGGCGGCATGCCGCCCCAGGAGCGCCAGACCCAGGCCCCGGCGACGACCTGCGGCGCCTGAGTGACGATATTCCGTAGGCAGACGTTGATGCAGTGTCGTCGGTTCCGCGTGATGCCGGGAGCGGCCAGGAGGGGGGTGGTGACTAGGGGTGGGGGGGAATATCATGGCGGGGGCCATGTGATCTCCCCAGCTTTCATGGCGCCTCTTCTTGCTTCATTGCGTCCTCGGCACCCCCCCTGGGCCGCGCACACGCCGCCGGCCACGATTTGCGCCCCCCCTCTTGGACGCCCCCCTCTTGGACGCCCCCGATGATGCCCTTGCCTCGCACGCGGAGCATCGGCTGGCCCTCCGCTCGCTCCGCCCGGAGGCGAGGCACTGGCCGGCGCTGCCGGGGCCCGGCCCGCGCTCTGAGCCGCTCTCTGCCGCTGCCTGCCCCTTGAAGGCACTGGGCGTGGCCGTCGGTGGCACGGCGGCCGCATGCCTTGGAGGTGTCGGGGGTGTACAGACCTCCTACCCTGACACGTCGATTAAGGAATTGGCCGTTTTCGGTTCGCGAGAGGGCGTCGCGGCCGTCATTTTTGCGGGTCCAGGCCCGTCGGCTTCGGTCCCAGGCCGTTTTCACTAGGGGGAGGTTTACTAAAAGGGAGGTTTGTCCACCGCCGAAGGTGGCTGGCTGCGGAGTCCTTTCTTTCGTCGTCGTTACGTTGTCGTTTCTCCATCGGCTGTGGTGTGCTCTTGGACACGCAGCTAGGTCGCGCCGCCGCCACGCTTTGCTATTCTCGAGGGCGCGTTCCCTTCGCCTTGGCGGTGGGGTCGCCTCGGCTCTAGCAGTATCTCTCGGCAGTTCGGATCCGCCTCATGTCTTCAGTGTGGACGTCCCCCCCCCCCCCTCACCTGGGGTGCATAACCAGCGCCGGGGGGCGAATGCATTGCGGCATCTCGAATCGTTTCCTCGTTTCCTCTCCTCCCTCGCTCTCCTCCCTCTTCCTGTCTCTGTCTCTTGCTCGTTCCCTCTCTTGCTCCTCACTAAGCCTGCCCAGCTCGGACTCCAGCTACGCGCAGTGTGGCATGTTTTGCAGTCCCACCCTCGAGTTGGTGTCGGACAGAGGATCGGACTCGCGCAAGCACCCGATGGCGCAGGTACACCGAGGATCGAGGATCTTAGGCCTCTCCGGCGATCTGTGGAGACCTTCGGGGGAGCAGGTGTTGGTACCGGCCCCTCTTCCTTCCTCCTGCAGGAGGGAGAACCAGGAGGAAGAAGAGAGGGAGATGGAGGAGATGGAGGTTGATGTTGCGACGAGCGACTTCGCTCGGTGCGTGTTCGAATGCTCTGGTGCGGCCCAGCAGCAGGCAAACCCACGCCACTGCCGGAGACCTTGAAAGGAAGGATGAACAGATGTCGGGAGGAAAAGAAACACACAGACACAATTAATCCTTGATTCCCCAGAAAATGTGGGAAAATATGGGAAGTGGGGGGAAGATAAAAACCCAGAAAATATAGGAAAAGATAGGGGAATGTTTTTTATCTGTGTGTATTTATTTGTGTGTCCTGGGGCCCCTTCATGAAAGGAAGGATGAACAGATGTGCGGAATGGCAGATCGGATGCCGAAATGCCTCAGCGGACAAAGTGCGAGAAGCACAGGCGGCAGACACTACAGTCGGGGCACTAAGGTAGGAACCCTTTTCGTTGGGGAGGGGCTCGGTGTTCCTTAGTTGTGTTGCAGTTCGCCTTTGATTTTGCTTAGGGTTTCGATTGGAAACCGAAGTTAAACTTATGGGAAAAAGATGCCTCGTTCCTTATTTAGGGTTCCTTAGGTCAACGCCTCTACTGTATGACCCAATGGGGCAGAGTCGAAGCACAGTGGGGCCAGAGAGGTGGCGAGGCGGTGGCAGGCGCCAAGAACTAGATGGAACAGCTGTGCATGACAGATAGCTCGCCAGACAGGCAGCCAAACCATGGAAGCACCCGCCCAGCGGAAGGCAACGGGGGCGACCCAATTACGACGAGGGCGCCGAGAGACGACACACACAGCCTGACCGTCGCCGCAGCGGCACAGAAACGAAGACCCTGAGCGGAAAATCATCCATCATCGGCGAGGCCGCCTGGGGCAAAAGCCTGAGCTCTCGAACTCCGCCTTGGGCCACACAGCCCCGAAGGCCGGTGAACGGACAGGCGCCAGCACAGCCCACGAGGATGGGAGGCCGCGCAGCAGCACGCGAGAGGCGGGGGGTCCTCCTCCTCCTCCTCCTCCTCCTCCTCCGCCTCCTCCTCCTCCGCCTCCTCCTCATATCCTCCTCCTCCTCCTCCTCCTCCTCCTCCTCCTCCTCCTCCTCCTCCTCCTCCTCCTCCTCCTCCTCCTCCTCCTCCTCCAGGCCTGCGATCCGCACCGGCACGGGCAGCAAGACAGCACGTGCAGCGGGCGGCGAGGCCGGTCCTGGCCAGAGCTGCGCAGGGCAGACGGGCCCACGCGCAGCACAATCGGGCGCGGCCAGAGCTGTCTCCCGCTGGAACGCCTCGGGGGCCGCACGCCGAGGGCGAATCAGGGGGCGAGCCGCGGCGAGGGAGCCTGGACCTGCCCTTCAACGCAGGCACGCACCAGTCGGGCGGGCGGCAAGTGGGGGAGACCTATAAATTGGAGGGGGGTGGAGAAGAGGGCCCTGAAGGGGCTCTTCGGGGCCCCTCTTTGAGCCAGCAGGGGCCCTCCTAAAGGGCCCCTTCAGGGCCCTTCTCTTTGCCCCCAGTTTCCCCCCCCCCCCCCATGAGCACCCGCCCGAACCGGATGCTGCAAGGTTCAGGAGGGGAAAAAACACACAGACACAATTAATCTTCGATTCCC